CATCACCTTGCTAGCATGTGAAATGAGTGCAGTTGCACACTAGTTGGAGCATTCTTTGGCACTGCCATTCTTTGGGACTGGGATGTAGACTGATCTTTTGCAATCCTCCAACCACTACTGAGTTTTCCATACTTGCTGGCATATTGAGTGTAGCACTTTAACAGCTTAATCTTTTAAGATTTTTAATAGTTCAACTGGAATGCCATAACCTCCACTGGCCTTGTTATTAGCTGTACTTTCTAAGGCCCACTTGACTTCATTCTCCGGCATGTCTGGCTCAAGGTCAGCAACCAAACTATCTGGATTGTCTGGGACAGATCTTTCTGGTATAATTCCTCTGTGTATTCTTACCACCTCTTCTTGATATCTTCTGCTTCTGTGAGGCCCCTGCCATTTTTGTCCTTTATCATGTCCATCTTTGCACAAAATGTTCCTTTAAAATCTCCAATTTTCTTGAACAGATCTCTGTTTTTTCCCTTTCTATTATTTTCCTCTATTTCTTTGCACTGTTCATTTAAGAAGGCCCTCTTGTCTCTCCTTGCCATTCTTTGGAAGCAGTCTGCATTCAATTTTCTGTAACTTGCCCTATCTCCCTTGCATTGTGTTTCCCTTCTCTTCTCTGGTATTTGTAAGGCCTCGTTGGACAACTACTTTGCTTTCCTGCGTTTCCTTTTCTTTTCGATGGTTTTTGCCCTCCTGGAGAGACCCATTAATTATTGCCGTGGCCCATTCAGTTGTGATAGGCCTGGCTGCTTTGATTAGGCAGGCTGGGCAAGTTTCATAAGAGGAGGTGGTAGCACGACAGCGGTCAAGTGCTTTGTCCACCATATCTAGCGTCACAGGCTGAAATAGATCAAGCCTCAGTGGGCAAGGCAGAGCACTGAATGTCTCTGCTCGATCTACTGTGTTCAAAAAAGGAGAGAGCTCCAGGCAGATGACCTCCACTTTAGATTTTTAAAATGCTGCATATTTATCGGGTGAAATACTAGTAGGAGTCCTATCACTTATACCAACTCCGGATAGATCATGGACTATACAGAAAAGTTCTGCCTGCTGCTTTGAAGCTTCGCTTATCCGGACAGCGAAGTGAGCTCGACTGGCAGTCCTCACCTTAGTAAGGTAATGGTTAGTTGGTGTCAGGAAAGCTCCTGACAGTTTTCCGATTATATTCTGTTGGGTTCCATCTCGAATTGTACTCTAGCCTTCTTCTGTTTTGCTTCATAGCTCACAGGGTTAAACCAAACCAGGGCACTGGATGAGCTCCGCAACGGAGAGGGCATTTAGGAGCGATCATGTCAACAGTCCTAGTGGCGACAGCAAGACAGCCATCAACCAGATCCTCGACAGGAGGACCAGTCAGATCAGCCAGTATCCCTCTCATGGATTCCTGGAATCCTGCAGGATCCAGTAGCCTTCGAAGGCGGACCATTAAAATAGGTCTTTGCTCCCTGCAGGGAAGGAGAGCCACTGAGATGTTACATTTTATATCAGACCACACTCACTCCGCTTAGTGGAGAACATGAGGTCTAGCATGTGACCACCCACTGACGGTTGGTCACAGTACCAGAACAGTGAATAGCCTTCAAACTTATGTTCACCATTGTTCTGAAGTGAACAGGAACTGTGCCATTGCCATACTTCCCTCTACCCATAATCACACGGATGTTCAAAGGACCCCCGCTGGGGGGGGCAAGCCTTCCACTACATGTCAAGCAAAAGGAAAAGAAAAGACCAAACATATACCAAATTAATAAAAGTAAACAATGCAGTGGTAACAAGGCTAACAAAATTAATCCAAACCATGACATAAAAATACACATTTAAATTAAACAATAATCAAATTAAGCAATTTAAAAGTTAAATGTATTCTCGAAGGCTTTCACGGCCGGGATCTGATGGTTGTTGTGGGTTTTTTGGGCTCTTTGGCCGTGTTCAGAAGGTGGTTCTTCCTGATGTTTCGGCAGTCTCTGTGGCCAGCATCTTCAGAGGACTGGAGTAGGAAATCAGACTGGCAAAACATCAGGCAGAACAACCTTCAGAACACAGCCAAAGAGCCCAAAAGACCCACAACAAGCATTAAAAGTTAAACCTTTAAAAAGAAAGGGAATAAAAACAACAAACCACCACCCAGATCTGTCACACCCAGAAAAAGAAAAAGTAAATAAGGAAAAAAATAAAGCAATGGAGAAAGAAAAAAGAAAAAGCAACAGCAAAAAAAAAAAAAAAAAAACACACACACACACAAAAATTCTCCCCCTTCCCAAATCACACCTAGGTGTTAGGTTCAGACCCAGTTGCAATTGTCAAAGGTGCAGGAAACCTTGACATGGGCCAACAACTGCTTATAATCGTTGTGGCCAAAAGCCGGGCCCATGTTGAGTTCTCTCGACTTCCAGATCTTAAGGGCCACCCTGTTGTCGCGGCTGACTAATCAACCATTGTTGTTTTATCCTTCTGCATCTACACCTGCTCATGGCACTGTGTGTAAATGACTGCCATGTAGCCTCACTCTTACATCTGAGGAAGTGGACTTTGATCTATGAAAGCTCACATTAAAATATAGCAATTTGTCTTTAAAGTGCCATCGTGTTTTTGTTTCTTATGTCTTGATTTTGTTTCTTGTCTGATACCCATGCACTGACTAACCAGTTTAAAAACTGTCCCTTTGCAGGTACCTCAATTATTTTGCTACAAAGTCAAGCCCAACTGGCGTGATCTTAGACCTTTGGGAAGCCCAGAATTTCCCTGATGGCAACCTGAGCATGCTGGCCACAGTTCTGGAAGAGATGGGAAGGCACGAGACCGTGGTTTCATTGGCAGCAGAAGGAAAGTATTGAGAAAGCGACCTTTAAATCAGAAGGAAGGAATGTGAACCATGTCAGCTGTAACTAACTCAAACCGAGCACCCCACACCAATGTGTTTCAGAACAAGAGGCATTCCAGAGGGAAAAACAAAACAAGAAATCCTGACTTTTCACATGCATATTCTCCTTGTACATTATCACAGGATTTGAAAGAAATCATGCAGAATTGTTACCTTGATAATATAATTCAATTCAATCCAATCCCTCTCAGCTTGGCTGTACACTGCTTGGTACAGGATTTTACAGTTTCCTAGGAAACGCTTTTTATTGCTATCCAGATATATGGATAAACTTTCTTAACAATCCCAGTTTCTACGAATGTTGTTTACATCAAATCCTGGGCAGCAGGATGAAAATGACTGTCCATGGCTCTCTTTTTAATACATTTTTCTTCTCCTCCTTTTGTTGAAAGCCATTCTAGACCAAGCCGTAGACAAAGCAGGGTTGTGGCTATTTTTGAGATAAATCAGTTCCCAACACCCCTTTCAGACACATTTCATGCTTGCAAATCTGTCCATCACATGTCTAAGAGTAACCCATAAAATGATACAGCTTTCTAGAAAGAGTGGTTAAGACAGAGTTTTACACTCACGCATCTGGCAAGGAGATCATGTCGAGGCTGAACAGGAATGCATATCCTTGCTCCCTCCCTTTCCCAGGGATGCCTGTATCCTGTATCCCTTGGTGATTTGAATTGCAGGGATTTTTTTTCCAGCTCACAAAATACCCTGCCCTGTATCATCTCTCCCTCCCCACCCCTCTCTCACTTGCTCAATCTCTCACTCTCTCTGTGTGTGATGCAAAATTTGGTGTGGTTTGCAGGAGGATCACCCTACCAAAAAGAAAATAATAATTTGCTTGTATGATTATTTTCTGAATAGTACCTAGTGTAAGGAATATTATATTTCTCATCATTCTTATTAGTATTATTATTTTTGCTTACGAAGTTTATCTGCAGCATAATCATTTGTGCAATGGCAGCACCCACCCAGGAAGGTGTTTGTGACATCTAATACTCTCTAAAGAAAAGGTTTTCTCCTCCTCTCTTTTCTGTTCTAGCTTTGGGCCTTATCTTAAAACCAATCCCAGTGAGCTAATGGATAGTTTGCTATCAAGTACAGTAGGACCTCCATATTCTTGGGGGATTGGTTTCAACCCCCCCCAAGACATTAAAAAGCATGGAAGGTAGCAAATACATATCACAGCAACAACAGTTATTTAAAGAAGGAAAATCACGTCCTGCCTTCTTGAGGTTCAGCTGCTCCTACAAGTCCTGTCCTTGCCATGAGCTTGGCTATGCAGACAAACCCTCCCACATCAAGGTGGTGGCGGCAACTCCCTTTTCCCTGAGCCCAGACAACAAAGAAGACTCACTTTTTCCATGTGTGCCCACATATGCCCTCCTGTCCAAAATCTGCTGGGGGGGCAGCCAGTCCAGATCAACTGGGGGAAGGAGGAGAATGGATGGTGAGGGGAGGCAAGCAGGTGATGGAGGGAGAGGAAGTGCAAGAGCCAGTTGGATCCTTGTCTTCTTCTCTAGCCCCCCCCCACGCATTGGAGCGCCATACTTCTGCCCGGGAAACACAGACCCACCCCTGAAGCTGCTTTCACCACCCCTTTAGACCCAATCTCTCTAGTTTCTGATGTGATCGTGGCCTTTTCTGTCAGCAGAAGCTGGGGTTGGAGCATCCATGCCTAACCCATCTGGTCCAGGCCTTCTGAAAATGGATACCCAAGAGTTGACCAGTCACCCGTGGTTAAGGGAAACGACAGGTATTGATCCATCAGATACGGGGGTCCTACTGTACCAGACATTTCTCATCACAAGATTGCCTTCAAAGAGAATAATGTCTTTGTATTGATAAGGAAGCACAGTATTTCTGACTATTTCAAACAAACAGAATGTTTCACTGAAAGAAACCCTTGTCTGTTAATCTATCCCAATTTTTTTTAGATGTGTCCTCCTAGTGGTTTTGATGTTGGCTTCCCATTCCATGTGCCTATAGCACCGTCACAGCTTCATGCCAGTCAATGGGGCTCAGATTGATTTGCCCTATGTCGGTGTTACCAAACCACAAAATCTTGTGTGCATCACTGCTTTAAAAGAATAGCAGTAAAAAACTAAATTCTGTTAAAAGTATTTCTCTTTGGTATTAGTCCAAAGACGCTTACACATTAAACAGTGCTTTTTGGAAGTAGTTGCATGCTTCCAAGCTGAAAGACGTGGTAGTTTGACTTGTTATTTCTCACTACAGAGACAAGTGTATCAGTGCACTTCTGAGCTTAAAGTTGGGCTTCAAGATGTTTGCTTGAGTTGTATCCCTTTTTGCATATGTGGTGTCTTGGCGTCTGAAGGCAGAGCTATGGATTAATTGTCAGCATCCACTATGGGTTTGAGGATAAAACAAGCGAACATTGCAGGATATGTATTTGAGCAGAAGTGGGCCATCTGACAAATAAAACAGGTCACGATGCACCAGTTGGGGTTTGTGAACGAAGCTGCCTTTGTTTAATGAAACAAAATAAAACATGGCATCCTACTTTGTTTTTGTTTCCAATCTTATTTCATTTTCTCTCTCATGTTCAAATAGTTTTCCCACCATTGCTGCTTGCTTACAGCTTCTGCCTGTGAAGAATGTGCATGTGTGTGTATATCTATATATATCATCTTCAATATGCATTTTTAGTAGGATTTTATTTTCCTGAAGGTTCTTGAGTCTGCGTTTCTAAAGGTAACTGTGAAAATGCCATTGGTTAACAGCGAAGGTGCATATTGTTTGACCTTTTCCCCACTTTGACATTTCCACAGCCTTTTATTTTCTACCTGCTGATTGTGTTTTTATTAAACACTGAGGAGTATTCATAAAGCATTCTGTGTCAGAGAAGGAGCTGGCTATCAGCCTGTGAACAACCGAAAGTGAAGGATAGGTTTTGATTGGGTTGATGATGGACACACAGCATTTTTTCCAAAATGTGCCCAAGCTTTAGTTTGGAATGTTCTAGTTAAAGTTTAGTCTGGAATGCTCTAGCTAAACTTTGTGAGTGTTTTTGAGTCCAGCACTGACACCTTCTTGACCAAATTATTATTGCTTTGTATCCAGAGACAGATTCTGTTTGAATTTTGAATAATCAGAGCCATTAGAACATCAGTAGAAGTGGGGCTCCCTTTAGAAGTGAAAGGGATGTTAGTCATTTTTCCGTATCTCCATGTGTTTTACGATGACCAACTTTCAGGGTCATTTGTAAGTCTGATTGCTCAGGCATGGAGATTTCAAGGAACTTTTTGTCTGGAGGGAAACATTGTAGCAACAGGATATACTAATTTGTAGCAACAGGATATACTAATTGCCCTGACCGTGTTATTTGACATTTAGGTTGGGAAACCATTGGATTCAGATGATCTTCCTCTTTGTTCTCCTTTTCAGACTTCTCATAAATTCAGTTGTGGATCAATTCATCTATCATTCCTCTATAGCTCTTTAAAAATAGTTGTATAGCTTCATCTATTATACAAATCAGGACAGACACTGCAAATATGATGCAGAAACCTAGGAGTGACACTGAAGATGTATGCAGCCCATAGTCTCCCTTACTTTGGAGGGTCCCACCTGGCAGGACAAAGAGAGGATTCAAACCAACAAGTTCAGCCATTTCTCTTGGAAAAGTTAGCACATAACTCCCAAATACCTAGTCAATCCAGCCTCTTCCCTGATCCTGCATTTATGTGGTGCTGAGATAGATCCTGATCATGAGCTAAACCTTACTTTTGAGATTTCCAAAATGAAACATTTCTGGAGAGCACTTTTGGAGTCAGCTAATGCCATGTCTCTACTGGCATGATAAATTTTTAGCAAACTCTTTCCTGGAACCTGGTGAGTTGCTGTACATTTTCTTCGCTTTTTGGTACATCTTTATCTTATATATATATTTTAAAAAATTGCTACTGGCTGTCAATTTTGGGATAGTTTTAAAAAACTCTGCTGTTTGCTTTTTACCTGCTTCTCATCCGCAACAAAAAGTAATAACAACACTAATTAATTATGGTAATAAAAGTTTGGTAATAAATTACTAGCTGTCTGTGGCACCCTACCCTGTATTCCCCCTACCCTGTTCCCATCCTAGCCCTTTACAGCAGGGGCAACAGTGCTATGCCAGTCCTGCAAACAGTAACTCCTCCAATGAAGAATTGGTTTAGTAGCAGCATTCATAACATTGTTCTCTGAGTTCTTTCATGGTTGAAGGAGAAATGATCCCTTGAGGGATAATATTTCTTTTTAATCTAGTTTGAAAACCCTTTAGGAAGGACATACCAGTTAAGGAAGGACTAGAAATCACTGATAGTATACATAGGTGTTTCACAACCAGTCCCTGACCTCTGCAGATATGGCTAGGAAAGGATTCCACCTGAAACCCCAGGAGAACCAGTAGCAGTCATGGAACACAATCTACCTGTGCTACCTGACTCAATAGTCTGAAGCAGTATAAGTCAGCTTGTTGTTGTTTAGTCGTTAAGTCATGTCCGATTCTTCGTGATTCCATGGACCAGAGCACGGCAGGCATTCCCGTCTTCTACTGCCTCCCGGAGTTTGGCCAAATTCACGTTGGTAGCTTCGATGACACTGTCTAACCATCTCATCCTCTGTCATCCCCTTCTCCTCTTGCCTTCACACTTTCCCAACATCAGCATCTTTTCCAGGGAGTCTTCTCTTCTCATGAGATGGCCAAAGTATTGGAGCCTCAGCTTCAGGATCTCTCCTTCCGGTGAGCACTCAGGGTTGATTTCCTTCAGAATGGATAGGTTTGTTCTCCTTGCAGTCCCGGGGACTCTCAAGAGTCTCCTCCAGCACCACAATTCAAAAGCATCAATTCTTTGGCGGTCAGCCTTCTTTATGGTCCAGCTCTCACTTCCACACATCGCTACTGGAAAAACCATAGCTTTGACTATGCGGACCTTTGTCGGCAAGGTGATGTCTCTGCTTTTTAAGAGACATCACCTTGCCGACATCACTTGTCATCGCTAGTTTCCAGCAATCCTAAAACAGTTGTTCATCAGTATTCAGGGGATTCCATTTAACCTTGAGTAGTGTGTGTGATCTCTACTACCTTCTGCAGCAACCTATAGATCTTGAAAATCTACCATCTAGTTGTCTCAACAACCTGGTGACTTTCTGAGTCATACAATGTAGTAGATGACTCATAGTAGATCCCACAACCAGTCAATTATTGCTGGATAGATGATGCATGTATTTGGGTTTTTTTTTTAAGAATCTATCCAAGGAAAGCAAAACAGGGTCAGCCCTTTTCCTGCCTTTCTTTTGTAGTCATGGTTACAATTCATTTTATTTTTTATTTATTACCATTTTTATTTCATAATTCCCCTGAAAATCAGCTCCCCAGGTGGTAATTAGGAGCTATTTAAAATACTGTATAGCTGTGCACAAATGCCCTCTCAAAATCCTATGGCGTGTTTATGGGCAGAGAAACTGGACATAGGAGAGAGGGAAATGATTTCATCAGATTTTTCCAGGAAAAGGCAAAATTCTCCAACAGCATCTTGAATCTTGAACTTACCATCAACAGGAGTTGTAGGACAATTTTGCGTCTCACTACCTCCACCAAAAAAAAGATCTTCATGTTCGGAAAGATCCTGTGGGAGGAATTATCTTAGGACATATTTCCCAAGACTTTTATTGAAATGTGAGTAGCTATGAAGGCTGCCAGCCACCACAGGGATTATACAGTGAAGGATAGGACATAAACCTTCAACCTCAGCCCCTTTGTAAGTAAAGTAAACAGAGAAATCTTAAACCACACCTATGAGACTTCCTTTGAAATTTCACGTCCCAAATTCTTTTTTAAGGCATTTTTCCATGCCAGATTACAGGAGAATGGTCCACATTCTCATGGACAATATTTCCAGTATTGTACTAGCTAAAAGCAGTAAAACCATTAAGATCATTTTGGTATTAAAACATAATTTAAAAGGTATCTTCACCGTACCTTGGAGGGAACCAATTACAAATCCAAGGAGACGATGCATTCTGCAAGCCAGAACAAACCGAGGAAAAGGTCCTTCCTGTTTGCCGTAAAGTGGGTCTCCATAGATAACCCTATCTTCAGGAAGGCCTTGGTTGAAGGTCATAACATCTGGACATGCTCATAAGAGATGGGTGATCCCATCAGCAGTCAGGTCCTCAGTGCTTTACACACCTTGACTTGGACCTCGAAGGGAAAGAAGATTGCATGTCTGTTAATGTCAGATTACTTTGAGCTCAGTTTCTTGTACCAGTGTGTAACCTGGCTGCCACATTTTGCACCAATTAAGGCATGAATGAGAGTCATGCCAAATCAGGCTAACTCAGGCAGAATGGTAGCTGACACACCGGGCAGAGTTGTGGCAAAGGACTCCTTGCCATTAGGGCCACACTGGAAGACCAGAGACAACACACGAGTCAAAGCATTCTCCCATGCTACACCTAGTAAAACATGGAGCAGAAAGGCAATAGCAGAAGCATGTAGCCCATTCCACTCCAGCAGGCTTCCTGGTGCATGGCCCATCTTATAAGCAGTGTGAAAACGGAAGGATGGCAGGGAGCCAGCCAGAGGAGAGGAGACACAAAATTGATCACCCTGTCCATAGTTTTGACCTGTGAGCACAATCTCTTATAGCTGTATCCCAGTACCTGAGTCCAATGCTCTACTGACAGGAGTGTCTCCATCTTGTCAGAGTTTATTTCCAGATTGTTCATCCAGACCAGTGTTTTTGGACTGCAATTCCCAGAAGTCTTCATCACCAGCTATGCTGACTGGGATTTCCGGGAGTTCCAGTAGGTAATTCTTGGGTAACCCAGAAGAACATCTGGGTTACCCAAGGTTGGGAATCACTGATCCAGACTAGTACATCAAACCCGGGCAACTTTCAAAGGCATTGGCTGCTTCCTCGGTATTAGAGGACATGATGCTATAAAGTTGAGTCTCATAAGCATGTTGGTGACAACCTTACTTCAAAGCTTAGAATGACCTCTCCCTGCAGTTTTCTGTAAATAATGTAGGACTCAGGATAGAACCATGTTGGACATCATATGGCAAAGCTCCATAATGATACCGTCTATAAGTACAGTTTTACTAGGCACAGTCCTATGTATCATAATTTCGTAGAATGTATGCTATATAGGTATTATTTCAAATGGCCAAGAATTCCCATTCTTTTAGAGACCCAAGCCTCCTTCTCCACCATATCTCTATTTCTGAAGTATTAATCTGTCACTTTCATCCTCTAAGCCAGTGGTTCCCAACCTTGGGTAACTCAGGTGTTCTTGGGCTGCAACTCCAAGAAGCCTACATCACTTGTTATGCAGGCCAGGACTTAAGGGAGTTGTAGTTCACGAACATCTGAGGACCCAAAGCTGGGAGCCACTGCTCTTAACAAAGAACTATTGTCAGCCTTAGCAGCTTCTAATTTGGAGGCATGTCGTATTTTACAGGTATCCAAAGTGACTTGCTAGTTGCAGTCAACATATCTGCTGCCCTTGTTTAACATGCTTCATTGCCTTAATTTATGCTTTTTTCCCAAGGATTTTAAGTTGTACCATTTCAAGGTCTGGTGGGAAGCC